GTCGGTCTACACAATCCGGACCTGCGGGTCAGCAAAGGCACATCGTCGGTGTATTAAAATAATGAATAGGAAACAGTCACGCTCACTGCTTACGTTCAGTTGAAATTATGCCTGTTCATGGTGACGGCTGCTGCAGAGAGCCAGTATCGACACACCCACGATAGTAGCAGGGGGACTCCTCAGTAGTTGGTCTTCGCTCATACATTCCATATCAGCGTAAGTTATATGGTTCTTTATTTGACTTTACCAAAAATTGTCATTATTGTTTTTAACTAATCAAGTAGACAGAACTTTAAAATACAGACAATGTTGTGGTTCAATAAATCAAGAGTTAATCAGTGTGAGGCACCGTGATCCTCTGCAGCCACACCTTCAAACTAGTATTTGCACTTTCCTCAAGAGACCGATCCGTCTCATTGTCTTTCTTCCTCGACATAGTTTAACAGGCCGCATACACAATGGGTGTGTTTTTGTTCTAAATCCATCAGTGTTTTTTTCTCTCTTTGTAACAGTGAAAATATGTCTAAATAATTGGATACAAATGTCCTGTTGAGTTCGATTAATGGGTTATGGTAATCTCTCTGGCTGGGCCTGTCTCTTTGTAAACAAACTGAAGTCCGCTGTCAGAACATTCCCACGGCTGAATTATGAGACTCACAGCCTTAAAACAATAAGAAGGAAAGGCAAGTGAAAAGGATGGTAAACTGTTACGCTGTTATTTACTGCCGCAGCTCCCCTCCCTGACAGGAGATGAGTCTTTAACAGTGTGAACAGAGTAAAGGAATATCTTATGTTCAATGATCCATCATCTCCCCTACATGCTGCTATCCCCACCAGGCTCTTCAGAGGGGTAATGATAGCCACTAGATCCCTACTCTATTGTTAGTAGTTCTCACTCCTCGGAGTATTTTATGATTGTCAGCCAGTGTTGACTTTAAAAAACTCTGACTTCTAACCAATATCCCAAATGCCCGCATTTAAAAAGCATTATAGAGAATCAGCAGGAAATGGATCTACTGTATCAGCGCTTTACCTGAAAGGTCTCCGGTAGGCAAAGAGAGCACTGTGAGCTGCTGTCCAGAGTACTGTGCAAGAACCTTCACCTGTGCGCTGTCCTTGATGCACTGAACGGAAAGCGACAAAATGGGTCCGTGAACCACTGGAAAATCCAAAGACAAAGAGATCAGCGTTGTTGAACTGTGTTACAATAATAATTAAATAATTTTCTATCTAGTTATTTACACATGCTAAGCTAAAATGCTTGTTACATTGACATGTTCAGAGTTTTGATGATTACAGATGACAGAAGTAACATGTCTACTAAATAAGTAGTATCTACCTGTGTATCCTATGACGGAAAACATCTTTGATGGCTTTGCATCTAGTACATAGATATATGAATCTGATGCACCTGTGAGAAGGTAGTGCCCCTCTTGGTCAAAACTGTAAAGGCACAAAAACACACACACACACACACACACACACACACACACACACAGAAAACAGCAATTTAATATAACGTTTTAACTTCGCTGAACTGGAGGAGCAGTTGTCCTCTGTTGTATGATATGTGTAATACTCTGTTAATGTGGTGTTAAACCGAAGCTCTGTGGCATCAGATACTTACACAAGGTGATCCACAGGACTGTGGTGTAGATGAACCCGGTGCACCAGGCGAGGTTGCTGCTCCCAGTTCAGGTCAATGAAGAGGACATTTCCCGAAGCCGTTCCAACAGCTGCGTATTGTGCAATAGGACAGCAGGCCAGACTTGTCACCTAAACAGACATAGATTGCAAGCTTTAACATTAGTTATTTTCCATTTAATTTGCCTCCTCCATTTTCATTAAGTGTGTCAATGTGGCACCGGTGTTCATTTGCCGTGAAACGGACCTCAGCTTGAAGAGACAGGGAACCAAGACAAATGCCCTCTGCAGACCACAGCTGCAGTACTCCAGAATCCCTCACCGACTGCAATAAGCAAATCAGCAAAATCACAAACATCAACAACAAGGACCCAAATTACACATGCCATCATGACACATTGTATTTCTTGAGTAAGACTAATGTTTTACCACACAGATGGTTTTGTCGGTGTGCGACAAAGCTGCAGCCACAAAGTCGCCGCTGAGAATATCCAGGAGCTTCACAATGACGCCAGACCGGGTCGGGTTCAACGCGTAGATTTGACCCTGAAGAACAAGAATCCTGTCATATTCTAATATTCCACTATATTTTCTCTCAGTTACATGTTATTATTAAATGACATATAGTATCACTTCATGTATAATAAGGCACACTAAGATACATTTAAGTACTTACCGCAATAGATGAAAAAAGTAATGTTTCGCGGTCAGGCGAGTACATCGCTGTTGTGACAGGTTCTTCTAATTGCCACGTTTGTGTGATGGTGATCTGAGCCGCTTTGACTTGCACGCAGTGCACCGTATTGTCCTGTAAACCATTTTAAGGTGCTTTTAAATTTGAGAAATTCAGAATTACTGAGAAATGATATTGCAAATCCCATCGATCCACGTATTATATTTCATTTGATTCTGAACGTGTTATACATAAAAATGTTAATGTGAGCGTGGGCCAGTACCTTTCCTACGGCAATGAAACCATTCTGGTTAAGGGATAAACTTTGAAAGTTGTTGTTTCTAAGTTCAGGGATGGCATCAGCAGCTGAGCAAAAGTGAAAGACAAATCAGATGTAAATTGTTTTTTTCAATTTTCGAAATCAATCAAGCAATTCTTACAATGACTATCAAATAATCTCCAAAGTCCCATTGTGTGTGTTTGTTTACTTGTGGGGTTAAAGATGACTGAGACAGAGAGGCTCTCTGGATCGACAAGGAGCAGAAAGCCTTCCACACAGCCCACATAAAGCTCGGAAGTGGGTGTCCAGCAGATGGTACTAGGAGTTAGTCGGGCTTTGGCGCAGAGTTTAGTCTGTGTAAACACATGTGGAGTTGGGTAACAATTTAAATTTATTTTGTGCCTCTAAAACATATCAAGCAAGTGGGGAAAGTGTATTGGTGTATAAATAATAGAGGAACAGTACCAGAATGCTTTCTGCCTTCTCTCCCACGAGTCCTGAGATGGCTGATGGAGGCATCTCGAGACCGAAGTAGGGGAGTATTTCGGTGACAGTTTGAGAGGTGGGCACCAATCTCTCAACAAACGAACCGTCATTTGCTGGAAGCTCTATCACACTGCAATATAACGAATAGTACACACACACACACACACACATTTTAACTAACAGTTTCCATTGTGATCATATGGAGTGATAAATGAAGGTAATATAGGTAAATTAACCGGTTACATCCCAACCAATGCTAACACAACAATTACTGGTCTGCTTTACCTTGGTTTCAGTAGATGAATGTTGGCACTCTTTTCAATATTCCAGACAGTGAGGGAGCTCTTGCCCAAAGCACAGAGCTGGAACCAACTGAGAGGGTTGAACACCAAAGAAATGACATCCCGCCCGGCGTGCGGTTTTGTACAAATTGGCGCCGCGCTTTCCCAGTTCCTGCATCACACGGTCGTGATTACACTAACGGAGCAGCTCAGCCTCAAAAAACATTAATGGAAATATTGAATCGACAATATACAGTAGTGTGCTGCTTGCAGTGGCTTACCACACTGTTATGGTGTGATCGGGCAGAGACGAACAACAGGCCAGATAAGGACCATCAGTGCTTAACGAGAGAGATGTGAAATCAAGTTGTGCTGAGCCTAGAAAAAAGAAACAGTGGAAACTTTTGAATATTTGTCAGAGAGAAAACAGCCTGTAAATGTAGGATGGAGGCATTCATACAAACAAACATTAAGAAGTCAAAACATCTAGGAAGAAATTTACAGTTACATCATCAATAAAACCTGACCTTTCAGTTGGAATATTCATTTGCAAAGATTTAGCTACTGATGTCCACTGGGAGGAAACATTCTTACCTTTTAGTTCATTCTTTAACTGTAACTCAGGGTAAATATACACAAATATTGACGGGGATAGCTTCTCCTCGGAGAAAGCAAACGTTTGATTGTTGCCATTGACTGTCAATGCACCAATTCCTTTTCCAGGACTCTGAAACATATTTTGCTTTTTTGTCTCCAGGTCGAGGAAACAGATATTATCCCCACATTTGTAACATACTGTTTTTTTGTCAACAAACTCGATACTCTTGTTTGTAAAACCTCGTATCCACCTAGAGGAACAAAAAAACAACAGCAAATTATTAAGTTAACGTTAGCTATTCACGGTTCGTGCCTCTCGAGTTTAGCATATAACGTTAGCTAACATTACACAGGTTACGGCGGTTAGCATCCTACGCTAAAACCAGGATATTTAAATAAGGGTTGAGATAAAACTGTGATGAAAACGTTAGATTAATTAAACATTGAGACGTGTATTTGTAAAAACAACATACCTGACATCGAAACTTCCAATGCCATCCATTTCAAGCTAAGAAATATCTTCACATACAGGTAAAGTGAATTTACGTTGCGTATCCCTGGCAACCAGAAAACTTATGGCTTCTTCTTTTGCTGGTTTTACGGCGGACATCCAGTTTTTCGGCTTTACCGCCACCTTGTGCTACAGAGTGTGGATCAGTCAATAGAGTTGGAGTCCCCACTTCCCACGCAAAATAAATAAATGTGGTAAAAAAAAATGTATAATTAAAAAAAAACACATTCTACATTAACCTGTAATTAATCTTTAATGTTTCTACCTCAACAATTCACTCAAATTCACCTTGCCATTACAAATGAATAATTTGCCCAAATTTATAGTTTGTATTGGATGTGATATTAGAGCTTATGCTTATTATTAAGTTATATTCAGGCATAAATCATTGTGCTTAGTCATGTAACACGTTAATGAAACTGCATTATTTGTCTCTCCGGGAGTGCCGCTGCACCCAGTCTTGATCAGAATAAGAAAACTCCATGGCAACCATGCTGTCTTGCTATTGGCTGATGGGCTCTATCTGACGCGCCCTTACCGGAAGGAAGCTATACATAAATTTCAGCAACTTATATCGTTCTATACACAGTTTTCTCCACTTTTCGTGCCAAGACTCTCTTACTCTCAGCACCCGAAGTGTAACCATGTCGACAGAAAGGTCTTTTGCCAAAGGTAAGAACGTTACGTCATGTGTTTGACCGCCCGTTGATACGACTTCCTGAGGGAGTTTATTGCCGTTAACGTTACGTTAAAAAGACTCCAGCGAGTCGCTATGACTCGCCTTTCTCAGACTCACGATGAGTCAGCATTTTTTAGCCAATGTCTGACAATTAGTGGATTGAACTGAATCCAAATAGATACCGACTCTTTGGTAACGTTAATTATCTGCAACCACTGAAAGCAATGCGTCTTTAAGACTGAAGGACTGCAGTCTGATGTGAGTGGTTACAAATGTATATCCGAGAAGTGTTTACTTCCGGGTAATTTACTGACGTCTACGTCTCACTTTGTAAAGGTTACACCATTCGCTCATTAAAAAAAAGTTGACAGTAAAAAATAAAAGCATTGAGGGTGAAAGCAGACTGCAATGTTGTCAGTTGTCAGGTGTAATTGTAAAATACTTCGTTACCAGCAGTAAGTCTTGCCCTCAAAGAGACGAGGGGTATTGTCAGTAAATGTTCTTACAAACTAATGTTTAACTTTCATATCACAGAATTATTTTCACTTTGATAGTGTGTATCGTATATAGTATTTATTTACTGGCAGTTAAATCTATAAAAAGTCATCACACATTCCATATCTTTGTCATGCAGATCACAAATTTACAAACTAATAACTGCCACTGTAAGATACATTTATATAAAGTAAGTGTACAATGGGAACACTCAATTTATGCACAAGTACCAAAAGGAATGCTCAAATTCATCAAGCCTAAATATTCTTATTACTCCCTACGGATGATTCAATGGTAAATCAAATCTCGTCTTCAACTGCTAAATGGGAAAACTCTAAAATAAATTGGCCCAAATAAAGCCAGCTCACCGTTTCAGTTGTCTGTCTTTTTTTTTTAATGTATACTCTATTTTTCATTGTCTGTATCGATTTATACTTTTTTGCGCTTATTCGGGCATAAATGATTGTGCACAGTCATGTAATGACACTGCATTATTTGTCTCTCAGGGAGTGCTGCACCGGGTCCTGTCCCCAAGGGCCACATCAGACTCTACAGCATGAGATTCTGCCCCTTCGCCCAGAGGGCCAGATTAGTGCTGAGTGCCAAAGGGATCAAGTAAAGACACGTTTTAATATGCTTTTGTTTAAAAACAAAGCTTCGCTTGTCCAAAACTTGGAGCAAAACGTGTTCTTTTTTTTGTACGTGTTTTTTTTCTCTCAGACATGAGATTATCAACGTTGACCTGACAGACAAACCCGACTGGTTCCTCGAGAAGAATCCTCTTGGTCTGGTCCCAGTACTGGAGACATCTGCTGGTGAGGTGATAATGGAGTCTCCCATCACCTGTGACTACCTGGATGAAGTTTACCCGGAGAGGAAGCTGCTTCCTTCCTCTCCTTTTGGTAAAGCTCAACAGAAGATGATGCTAGAGGATTTTTCTAAGGTACCCTCTATTAAAGACGTCTACGGTTTTGTTTACTCTTTACTCTTTAATAATCCCAATGCCACTGTTTACTACAGGTCATACCGTACTTTTACAAGATTCCGATGCTCAAAAAGAAGGGCGAAGATGTCTCAGGACTGGAAGCTGAACTGAAGGAGAAATTTTCCAAATTGGATAAGGTGATTTTGCAAAGTCTAGTGCTCTGGGTTCTTTGTATGTTCACCGATGTGATCTGGTAATGATCATTGAGCACAAGTGTGGATGTGTGAGACTATGCATCCTCCAGAGAAATGAGTAACGCGAGTTCCCCCGTGTGTCTCCGCTGACTGCACATGGTTAGTTTGCAGTACAATGCTGATAAACGTGTTTTTTTTCTAGGACCTGGTTAACAAGAAGACCAAGTTCTTTGGTGGGGATTCCATCACAATGATCGACTACATGATGTGGCCTTTTTTTGAGAGGCTTGAGAGCTTTGAACTGAAATAGTAAGTAATTAAATACTTTCTCAAGACCTTCAATAATAAATACATTTTATTCATGGAAGCATTTCCTTCATTGACCATCATGATGAGCCAAAATACATATGCATGACAGTACAAAAGTAAGGCATACAAGAAAGAGCTGGGAATCTCAATCCGAACAGAGTGAACCAGTCTTCCTCTTTTACCACATCGACTAAGTCATATTTCACGTGGCGCCGTATGTTCATGTGTTGTAATTATGTGAATGATTTGATTCCCGTTGTGTTTTCAGCTGCCTCGACGGCACACCTGAGCTGAAGAAGTGGACGGAGCGAATGTTGGAGGACATGGCTGTCAAAGCCACAATGCACAGTCAGGACACCTTCAAGGCCTTCCACGCGTCCTACGTGGATGGGAAGCCCAACTACGACTATGGCCTCTAGGGGGGAAAAAGGGATAGCCTTAAAACATCCCTTTTTTTAAAATTGTATACGCCATATTAATTTTCACTCTAATTCAAGGGCCCTGTTGGTTTTTTATAACTTTGATGAAATAGGAAAATATATATATATATTGTTGCACATACTTATATTTTCGATGAGGTTCAGTGAGTGAATGCTACATTTCTATGATGATGCTCTTCCTCCAATAAAAACTGTATACAACGCTGACATTTTTCTGTGTTTTATATTGAGTAAGAAGTACATTTCGTTTTTTCCTGCCTGACTACACAGGGTGGTTTAATTTAATAAACTAAGGACAACTGTACAACACAACAGGCAAAATAAATGCTTTTCTAGTAAGTACTACAAAGCATAATTAATAGCTGCCATTCACAGTATGAGAACAAAAGCACTGCTATACAGTTTGAACCGGCGTAATAGAAGATGTATTTCTGTTAAATGTCCCGATTGACAAAAGCGTGTTGGATTTTCTATTAAAAAAGGTAAAAGAAGTGCATTTCAAAAATGTGTACAAGTGCAAAAGAGCGGTCTTCAGGTGGTAGTTGGTAAGGCCGCTCAGCCCCGTGGCTCCGTGAACGCTGTCTGCTTTCTGTGCAGCAAGGTGACGACCTGGAGGCAGTGCAGATGACAGGAATTCGGCAGGAGGAGTTTGGAGAAGTGCTTCAGCAAACTAAATACTGTTTCATTGTCAACAAACTCGATTCTCTTGTTTGTAAAACCTCGTATCCACCTAGACTCTAGATTTTTTTTGTCCCTTTAGGTCCTAGAGGGACAAAAAAATTACAGCAAATGATTAAGTTAACGTTAGCGATTCACGGTTCGTGCATCTCGAGTTTAGCATATAACGTTAGCTAACATTACACAGGTTACGGCGGTTAGCATCCTACGCTAAAACCAGGATTTTTAAAATAGGGTTGAAATAAAACTATGATGAAAACGTTAGAATAATGGTGCGGAATAAACATTGAGACGTGTATTTGTAAAAACAACATAACTAACTTCGAAACTTCCAATGCCATTCATTTCAAGCTAAGAAATATCATCACATACAGGTAAATTGAAATTATGTTGCGTATCCCTGGCAACCAGAAAACTTCTTCTTTTGCTGGTTTACGGCGGTTTGCATCCAGTTTATCAGCGCGTTACCGCCACCTTGTGCTACAGAGTGTGGATCAGTCAATAGAGTTGGAGTCCCCACTTCCCACGCACAATAAATACATGTGGTAAAAAAAGAAAAAGTATAATAAAAAAAAAAAAAAACATTCTACATTGACCTGTAATTAATCTCCAATGTTTCTACCTCAATAATTCACTCAAGTTCACCTTGCCAGTAGAAAGTAATAATTTGCCCAGATTTATAGTTTGTATTGGATGTGATTTTAGAGCTTATGTACAGAGCAGTAACATAAGCGAAAGTTATATTCAGGCATAAATGATTGTGCTTAGTCATGTAACACGTTAATGAAACTGCATTATTTGTCTCTCCGGGAGTGCCGCTGCACCCAGTCTTGATCAGAATAAGAAAACTCCATGGCAACGGTGCTGTCTTGCTATTGGCTGATAGGCTCTATCTGACGCGCCCTTACCGGAAGGAAGTTACACATACATTTCAGCAATGCGTTACCTAATATCGTTTTATACTCATTTTCTCCACTTTTCGTGTTAAGACTACCTTACTCTCAGCACCCGAAGTGTAACCATGTCGACAGAAAGGTCTTTTGCCAAAGGTAAGAACGTTACGTCATGTGTTTGACCGCCCGTTGATACGACTTCCTGAGGGAGTTAAATGCCGTTAACGTTGCGTTAAAAAGACTCCAGAGAGTCGCTATGACTCGCCTTTTTCAGACTCACGATGAGTCAGCATTTTTTAGCCAATGTCTGACAATTAGGGGATTGAACTGAATCCAAATAGCCACCGACTTCTTTCCAACTTGAGTAACGTTACTTATCTGCAAACACTGAAAGCAATGCGTCTTTAAGACTGAATGACCGCATGTGCGTGATTACAAATGTACAGGTGTAATTGTAAAAGAAAGACATTTACGAGGTTCTTTACCAGCAGTAAGTTTGTACTTTGCTACTATTAAATGTCCTGCCCTCAAAAAGAAGAGGGGAATTGTCAGTAAATACCACAGAATTATTTCAACTTTGTTATTGGATGTCGTATAGTATTTATTTACTGATAGTGAAATCTATAAAAAGTCAACACACATTTCCAAACCAATAACTGCCACTGTAAGATACATTTATATAAAGTACTTTTTTTAAGTAAAAGAATAAGCATGAAATGTGAAAAAAAGTTATGCTCAAGTACCAAAAGGAATGCTCAAATTCATCAAGCCTAAATATTCATATTACTCCCTACAGCTGTTACAATGGCAAATCTAATCTCATCTTCAATTGCTAAATGGAAAAACTCAAATAAAGCCAGCTCACCGTTTCAGTTGTCCCCGTCTTTTTTTTTTCTCCAAAAATGAATCTATTTTTCACTGTCTGTATTGGTTATAATTTTTTGAGCTTATTCGGGCATAAATGATTGTGCACAGTCATGTAATGGCACTGCATTATTTGTCTCTCAGGGAGTGCTGCACCGGGTCCTGTCCCCAAGGGCCACATCAGACTCTACAGCATGAGATTCTGCCCCTTCGCCCAGAGGACCAGATTAGTGCTGAGTGCCAAAGGGATCAAGTAAAGACACGTTTTAATATGCTTTTGTTTAAAACCATAGCTTCGCTTGTCCAAAACCTTTTATGTACTGTACAACATGTTTTTTTCTCTCAGACATGAGGTTATCAACATCCACCTGAAGGACAAACCCGACTGGTTCCTCGAGAAGAATCCTCTTGGTCTGGTCCCAGTACTGGAGACATCTGCTGGTGAGGTGATAATGGAGTCTCCCATCACCTGTGACTACCTGGATGAAGTTTACCCGGAGAGGAAGCTGCTTCCTTCCTCTCCTTTTGGTAAAGCTCAACAGAAGATGATGCTAGAGCATTTTTCTAAGGTACCCTCTATTAAAGACATCTACGGTTTTGTTTACTCTTTAATAATCCCAATGCCACTGTTTACTACAGGTCATACCGTACTTTTACAAGATTCCGATGCTCAAAAAGAAGGGCGAAGATGTCTCAGGACTAGAAGCTGAACTGAAGGAGAAATTTTCCAAATTGGATAAGGTGAGTTTGCAAAGTCTAGTGCTCTGGGTTCTTTGTATGTTCACCGATGTGATCTGGTAATGATCATTGAGCACAAGTGTGGATGTGTGAGACTATGCATCCTCCAGAGAAATGAGTAACGCGAGTTCCCCCGTGTGTCTCCGCTGACTGCACATGGTTAGTTTGCAGTACAATGCTGATAAACGTGTTTATTTTCTAGGACCTGGTTAACAAGAAGACCAAGTTCTTTGGTGGGGATTCCATCACAATGATCGACTACATGATGTGGCCTTGGTTTGAGAGGCTTGAGAGCTATGAACTGGAATAGTAAGTAATTAAATACTTTCTCAAGACATTCAAAAATAAATACATTTTATTCATGGAAGCATTTCCTTCATTGACCATCATGAAGAACCAAAATACATATGCGGTACAGTACAAAATACAAGAGCTGGGAATCTCAATCAGAACCTCTTGTTCCACATCGGCCGTATGTTCATGTGTTGTAATTATGTGAATGATTTGATTCCCGTTGTCTTTTCAGCTGCCTCGACGGCACACCTGAGCTGAAGAAGTGGACGGAGCGAATGTTGGAGGACATGGCTGTCAAAGCCACAATGCATAGTCAGGACACCTTCAAGGCCTTCCTCGCGTCCTACAGGGACGGGAAGCCCAACTACGACTATGGCCTCTAGGGGGGAAAAAGGGATAGCCTTAAAACATCCCTTTAAAAAGAAATTGTATACATCATATTCATTTTTATGCTAAGTGGGGCCGTGTTTTTTTTTTTATAACTTTGATGAAATGGGAAAATTATATATATATTATAGTATATATATATATATATATATATATTATAGTATATATATATATATATATTATAGTATATATATATATATATTATAGTATATATATATATATATTATAGTATATATATATATATATTATAGTGTATATATATATATATATATTATAGTATATAGTTGCAAATACTCCTATTTGAGATACGGTTCAGTAAAGAGAATGCTACACTTTTATGATGTTGCTCTTCCTCTAATAAAAACTGCATTTAAAAAAAATTCTGTTTTTTTTATATTTAATTGAAATACACTGGGTGGTTTAATTAATAAACTAAAGACAACTGTACAACAGGCAAAATAAATGCTTTTCTAGTAATATTACAAAGCATAACTAATAGCTGCCATTCACAGTATGATAACAAAAGAACTGCTATACTGTTTGAACCGGCATAATAGAAGAGGTATTTCTGTTAAAAAATTGACAAAAGTGCATTGCATTTTCTACTAAAAAAGGTAAAAGTGCATTAAGAAATCACCTTTTCAATTTGATATTTACAGCTTTTAAAATGTAAAGCAATCTACTGGAAAATCTGTCTGGGTTATACGACATGAACGTTTCAGTAGCAAGCCTTCAGATTAAAAATAACTGCACACAAGACTTTACAAACAACCGACTGAAATTCTGCCATGGGGCGTTTGGAGCCCCTTTAGTAACACTGGTTACCTTGTCGAGTCTAAAATTACTTCATATCCGCTGTAATAAAATACGTACAAGTGTCATTTGAGTCATCGTGCGACTATTTGTAAACCCTGGATGCTTATTAAGTCGCAAAAAGAAACACAGACGCTCATCTAATCTGGTGTGTGACGCTGGCGGTGCGCGCGCACGTGTACTCTCGTATGAGCGCGGGCGCGTTCCTTAACATCTCGTTGAAATGCCCGACCGTCGCCGCGTAACGCTCCCTGTGCAACACCAGGCACCGGAACAGATTCACGGGCTCCGCCGCGCGGATCACCTCGGGCACGCCGACCTCTTCCGGCACCTTACTGTTCCCGACCAGCGCGTGATGGAGCCTCTTCTGGCGAAGGCTCGCGCGCACGAAGCCCAGCACGTCCCGCAGCCTGCGCTCCGTGGTGCCGGCGCTCCACTCGGACGGCCTCGTGGTCAGCAACAAGTGCAACAGAGCGGTCTTCAGGTGGTAGTTGGCGAGGCCGCTCGGCCCCGTGAGCGCCGTCTGCTTTCTGTGCAGGAAGGTGACGACCTGGAGGCAGTGCAGATGACAGGAATTCGGCGGGAGGAGCTTGGAGAAGTGCTTCAGCAAACGCCCCTCGTGGACGGCTAAAGAGACGGGCCAGCAAGCGTCGGGGGAGCCGGTCCCGCAATCTGACGGGAAGTGGGAGACGAAATACGCGTCCGTGTCCTCGAAGCGAACCGCCGGTATGACGTTCACTAGGATCGCTTTCCCCGAGCGGAAGCGGATCTTCAGGGCGCCGGCGGCGTCCAGGTGGCGAAAGGTCACCTCGAAGTCGTACTTGTGCGAGATGCGTCGCCACGCTCTGGTTACCGCGACCTGGAACCACTTGACGACCCGCTCTTTGGCCAAGCAGCGCGTGTCCCCGGAGCACAGCTCCAGCGGCGGCTCGTGGGCGGCGCCGCGGTCCTCTTTGAGCGGGTCGTCCTCGCCGTGCAGCATACAGAGCACGTCCTCCCCCATGTCCGCCGAGCCGCAGATGCAGCCCTCCTCGTTCTCCCCGAAGCGGCTCACCTTTATCCCGCCGCAGCCCGGCTGCGTGTCCGGGGCCGCGCCGCCGCACCACAGGTGGAACTGGAAGGAGTACGGACCCGGAGGGGCGAAGGGCACGATGAGGTCACACGTCAGCGGCTCGCCCACCTTCCACGACTCGAACACGCTCCCGATCCCGACGAAGTCCCCGACCTCCATGTCTGCGCGCCCGGCGCACACGCTCCTGAGCGAGTCCGCCAACTCGCCGGCGAAGCCCCCGACGAAGTCCCTCACCCTCCAGTGGTCGCGGGCCGAAGCGTAGGTGCATTTGTCGCAGAAGTCGCTCAGGGCGTCCTTGTCCAGCGCCACGGTCCTCGGGGTGACGGGCGATCCGCTTTCGTCCTCATCCTCGACCGGCCAGACGTCCGCGTCGGTGTCGGCCGGCGCCCTGCACACCTCCACGGCGAAGAATACGGCGAAAGACACGGCGCTCCAAAAGTACCAGCCGTAACCTTCCGGCGGGCCGGCTTCTCCCTGCTCCGAGTCCAGCTGCGAGAGCTCCCTGTCCAGCCGCGCCTGCTCCATTTCCAGCCTCTCCTCGTGCTGCCGCATGCGCGCCATCAGCCCCTCGTCCTGGTCCGGAGCCTTGCCGTGGTCTTGGGTAAAGAGCGAGGGGTGGTTCAATATGGCAGCGGCCACCACCACGCACGCTCGTGCGATGGCCCCCTGCATCTTCAGCTGGTTTCCAGCCAGCGCATTTAGGCTTTAGGCACGGCGCGGTGGTCCAGACAGCTGCAGCACAGATCCTGAAAGAAAATTTAGAAAAGAAGAAAAAAAATGGTTTTAATTATTTTTGTGTGCCATTTGCCAAAAAAATGTTTGGATGTATTTAATTAAATTAATGAAATATCATAGTGTGTCTACACTGCTTTTTATTTGTGTTAAGCACACATTGTACCTCTAAATATAGTGACACTGGGAGTGACGCACTCTTCCAGTATCAGACCGTGCAACATGGGAGGAAGGAAGATTGGTCCCTTTGGTCCCATTGGTCCCCCTTCTCTGATAACACGCTATGGTGACCAACATTGTTGCCGTTAGCGTTTACATCCTGTTAACATTTTGTCCAAAATCAAGTGAGAAAGCGCCACCCTTTTTGAAAAATGTCCACCAAACAAAATCCAGCTTCTAAGGCAAACAATGCGGGGAACACAATTATATTCTTTCCTGGATGTCAGATGACCGACAGGTCATGCAATATATTAGAAGAGGAAATGACACAAGTCTCTTGCTTAAGTTCCAGGCATTTAGTAGAAGTTATAGAGAAAACTTCCCACTGCACTGGTGAGGATAGTCTGAATTATGATCTTCTATATATACAGTCTTAAAAACGGCGCTTTCCTTCGACAAACTAAGAACATAAAATGGGAAGCATGTTATGATCTCACTGTTAGACCATGTGAATATGAGCGGTTCTGTCAGACTTGTGTTTTAAAATGACAGCAGTAATGGCTGCATGTGGAAACTTCCCATGACTTACTCACTGGGCTCTTTTCCAACACTTACATGGTTCGGTCCATCCAAACAAACTCAGTCAGAGAGAGACAGAGAGGGAGGGAGAGAAAGAGGGGCCAGTGCAAATAACTTGCGATCATCTATTGTTACAGAACATGTAGTCCACATAAACAAAAGCAGGATCCTTAGCTTCTCAATTGTCCTCAAAAACATTTCTAGTAGAACGTTAAATGCCAATGCCACTGTGTAAAATACTACTTCATGTACTGCAAGCGTTACTGTCAGCAAGCACCATGTGCCGCTGTTTGTGTCGGAGGCGACTTTGATTAACAAAGGTTGAACAATTATGAAGAGTTATGCTGATCCTTTTTGTATTAAACAATGTAATCTGTCATGTAGCCAGTATTTACAGCTGATAAATGAATGTAGTACATACTATGTCTCGTAAAATAAATATATGAAAAGGTAAGAGTAAATGAATGAAATGAAATTGACTCACTAAATTAAAGTCAGTTGTGTAAGGTAACAATGTTCATTAACAAAGCTCGCTACATTTTGAGACACATTATTGCAAATATAATTCTACTCAACTACATTTCAGAGGGTAATACTGTACTTGAGTTTATCAATATATTTTTGGACGCATCATTACAGATAACAACTTTCACCATATTAAAGTAATTTATACATGGTTGCCTCAGTAATTAAAATACAGTAGCATAACACAAATTAATTGGAATTTGAACACTATAGAAAATGCGCACTTTATATACCCTGCAGTACGGTACTACATTAACACACTTTTGCACGTGTAGTACATTTGTAGGCCTAAAAGCAAAGTTAAGAAAAGAAACACCCGCTATGACGCCATGGTGCACAGTGACGTCGTCTTGCTCCCATGGCCAACGGTTACCACGTCGGTTGTCCTGGCAACAAAATATGAATCCGCTCATCGGGGAAATGTCGCAGCAACAAAAAAAGCACTTTTCCAGCCACGTGACTCACTTCTCTTTTCTAGCAACGTGAGTCACGTCACTGCTAACACGGCGCGCGCTGTAGCGGGGTGGGTTTTAAAAAAAGCGTAAATTAGTAACGGGCATCATTTTGGGGCACAAGCCATGAGAAGTTAGATTAAAAGAGGTGTAAAAGGTGTAAGAAGGAGCTGGTAAACTTACTTCCGCGCGGTGCTCTGTGCAAGTTCATGGCGATGAACTCCGCCTCGGATGAAAGCAGCCTCATCGAACTCGTGTGAGCAACGAGAGGGAAACAATTTCACAGCGCTTTGCTAAAGTTCCGGACTGCGCGCTCCACCCGTAGACAGAGACACCGCCCATATCCCCCTTTTTCAGCCCAAACAGGCACCCCGGCTGATGTCCGTGCAGCTCCAGCACTCTGAGGGAGTTTTTTTGTAATTCTTTCTAGAGTAACAACATTTGCAGAAGTCACTCAACTGTCCATTGCACTTTGACTGTAACTCTGCAATTTAGTGTGCCCTATATTTATTTCCCATTAGGCTCAAATCCACATTTGAATGCAAAACATATGGCATTGTACGTAAATAAAAAGAGCACATATAATAATGATAATGTTAGTTTCAAAATTGAGCTATTTCACATGTGAGTAGAATTTCTTTTTTTCAACTTTGTAAATGGAGAGCATCACATGTGAGAAGTTAACTCTTTCATAACTTACTATTATCTAGTAAGTAGGCAAATTATTTGAACACAGCCTTCTTGGGAACAGATCGTAACAACAATCCCAATTTTGGCCTTTAGAAGCAGAACTCTACCGACCTACAGTCATGAAAATACATTAAAATGAGGCGCTTCGTCATTAGACAGTGGGAATCTTAAGGGGACATTGACCTCAACAAATACGTACAATTGAATGCTTTTCAAGGTGGTAAATCACACCGGTGCCACTGCTAATGATAAATATCTCGTCTCACACATACCATGTAGAGCTACTGAGGATATGTTTTTGTGTCTTAAGTCATCAACACCACGCTTCACTAATTATAAATGACAATCCCTTATGTTGTACAAGCAGGGCGCCATTTTGTTGATACTTATATAGAATACAATTATTTTAAAATGTAAAGGGTGCAGTAATGTAACTTTTGTACAAAACAAGAGCGGGGAAAAGACGATTGGAATAAGAATACATATTTTAAGTGCTTTTAAAGAAGTAACCCAGCCTGTATTTTGGTGTATGAATTGCACAACAGAATTTTTTAAATGTGGAACAAATCAAATGACTATATATACAGTTAGTGCAACAGGCCTACAATATATTTTAATAGTTCCTAGAAATAAAGATGTAATGTGCTATTCTGGGTTCAGGATTTGTTGCGCATGGCTGAATAGGAATCGGTCTTTGAACAAAGAGAGAATAGAAACTAGACCACTCACAACACATTAGGAACCAAAAGTGAAATGTTCTTTAAAAATACATTTAATGAGGTAAAATATGCATACAAGCTGTGGCCCCCAATGGAACTTTCCACACCCTCAGAAGCGCATCGTCCAAAGGACAAGGACCGTATCTTTTTAAAAACTGAATATCACAGTGGTCTTTAAAAATCAAACAATAAATTATGATTTTACAAAGTTCATGTTCAGACCAGAGAGTGTTCTCAACCAAATTAAAAAATAATAATAATTCACACAGACAACAGCGCAAATATTTACGAAGCGATCACAAGCAACACATTCAAGTAGAATCTTCAAGGCAATAGTTCTATAATCTTCTCTGCTTTGCCCCTTTTGTCAAGGTCCTGAAGGCTCTTGACCAAGATATTCGAGGCTTCCTTTCCCTGCTTCTCCACCCAGATATTTAGTAGTTCAAGTGCCTGCTCCAGACTATCATTAGGATGGTTGAGTAGACAAGACTCAATAACAGCGTTTTGTATGCCGCTGCGTGTTGCTATAGCCTTCGCATCGTTCCATCCAATAATTCGTGCAATGTCAGGCAGGTAAGGTTGGAGATCAACAACTGGAGCTACGTGAAAGACGGGAAAAGTGGGGATTAATGTGATCAAACACACAACATAATACAAAGTCACATAGAGGCATTTTGATTCTGACGGACAGAAAACATAAATTTCCAGACCTCTCACATCTTACAGGTTTTTAGAGATTCATTACGGACTGGTGCTCTGCTAATCAGTTAGGAATAAGCACTCAGAAAACATCATGTTCCTCACTACTTGGTTAGGACGGGACTAAATAACATACAACCCTTCCACGCAGAAATCATCTAACTTACGGACAACATCAGACTGAATAATGAGATGAAATGAAATGTTCTGGGACTTCTCCTACCTTTGAGAGGCTGCATCTCCTGAGGAACAAAATAAGAATGAATGTTAAATTTAGAACAAATTACAACTCTACAGTATTAACATGAAAGATTGTTTGCGCAGGCTTTAAAATACATCAAAGCACAACAGAAGTGACACAGAGCAAGCACACCAACACGGACAGCAACGGCTTCAGACAACTAACCTGTACCTCTTATAGAAACGGAAGCTTAGAGGAGGTTAGAGGAGAGATGGAAAAGTGTTTGTCACACATGCACGGGTGAAAATGGAGGAGCCAAACTTCTTAACGACTGGCCAGAGGGTTATAAATGGAACAGAAGTAATAACTGGAGAACAACTTACCACATCAGGAGCACTTGTTACGTCCATGTTCCCATTTCTCTTCCCTACTAAGATAGGTGATGAAAAAAATCACAGATATATTATTAGGTGGATACTAAAACGTTTAAATTGAACATGAACGGAACCTCTGGTGATATACTAATACTCACGGTGGCGTTTCAACATAAAAAAGCCTACAAGAAGAAGTCCAATCACGACTATTGAGACAAGGCCAATTATTATGCCGGTTTTATTTACCCCTGAAACACAAAGACACATTATATCTCAGCACAAACAAAAATGATGACGGATCTGATTATATATAACTTGGCAATCTACAAACTAGGGCCATCACAATGCAAGTACCTTCCGTTTGGCCGCAGACCGTGTTATTGTTGGCTGTGCAGGCGACTTTGATGCCCTCCGGACACCTTTGACCAAAAGAAAATCAAGTGTGAGTGAGAAAAATGTACCATTTCTTTAAGATCATAGTGGCAGGTCTGTGGGGACGAGTCAACAAACACAGCGTGACCCTGTTTTGAAGACAGAAGCTTTACATGCATCTTCTAGTTCGGGGACATTAAGAGGCGGCAGAACTTACTCTTCGCAAGGGTGGCAGATTCTACACTTTTCTGTGCCGTCGCTGCTGCAATAGTGATCCTTTTTACATCTGCACTTAGCGTCCCGAGCAGGGGTACAGGCTTCCTCCACCTCCAGATTGGCTGAAAGGACGGTAAAAACACACACATGACATCAGAGAGGTCGACCGAACTTTACATGGCTTTGAACTGCATTTTTTCTTGGAAAACAGCCGTTTTCCGTCACGCGTGTACCATTGGGTTGTGAGCAGGATGAGCAGAGCTCACAGGACCTCAGGCTGTTAGGCTGAATGCTGTACGTATTTGGAGGACAGTGTTCGCATTTCCCGTGCTGTAGATTGGCAGTGCAGTGCTCCTTCAGGTAATGACCTACAGTATGGAAACAAAAATAACAATGTTTCACGTGTCCACGTTTGTCCATATCTTTAAATGAATGTGACAGGCCCGTGTCCCAACAACACAGGCGTTAACCTCTTCTTGAGGCGCTGTCACCTCTAAGGGCTCTCAACCATGACGTTATTCTTCTTGCACTAGCTAATAGATCTTGGGTCATTTGCCACTTTCTTCATTCACCAGATTTCACCAGATAGGTTGGAAGTGATCTTGTATAAATATAAATACAGACTGTGTGTTAACGACCACGTCACTTACCGGCACTACACAGACAACATGACCTTCCGCCGTAGCCGTACGTTCCGTCCACACACGAACTGTTTGCTGTGCTCCCCTCGGCGGAGGACTCGGCTCTGGAAAGGAAGCGACGAAACCGAAAGTAAATTTTATTACGCGATTATAAAAGTAGCGAGATAACTAACAAATAGCTTCACGTAATGTCCCCGTTAATGAATTCAGCGGTTGATGTATCACGCGGGCCTCTGAACTCAGGTGTTGACCACGTAAAGCACACGAACCGGGCGCTCGCGCAGCTGTACGTTAACAGGCCGTCACACCGAGTAACACCGGACGCCCGGTGACACGCTGACTTACGGTAACAGCTCACAGACTTTTGTTCATTCGTACATTTGTTCACATGTACTTACAGGAGCACGCAGAGGAAGAGCAGCGCGCACAGGGCGGGGAACTCGCTGGAAGCGGCCGCCATCGGCGTCTCCTACTCAAACGAAAGTGATGCGGTTTTCTGCCGAGAGTTTTCGGAGGATGAGGGATCCGCCCCGCGAGGAGGCGCCGCAGCAACCGGGGGATTACTTTTTCTCAGTTTGTGACTCGTGACTACGTATAGCCTGTGAATAACACATTTGACGTGTTGGTCTCAACTAAATGTTGGCAACCGTATGTTGTTGTGTGCTATATGTTGACATTTACGGTATTAAACAAGAAGCCGGTATAAAAGCTGTTGACTGGAGTTGTTTTAGGGTAGAATTCTGACTAATCTTGTACAAAAAATGAATGCTTTTACTGTACAGTTAGTTAGATAATTAATTAATTAAGTAAAAAAATATATATATAAGTTGAAAATGCCCATTTCTAAATATTTGAACCGGCAAGGATACTGAATATGAAGTATTTTACAAATTTCTCCAAAGTTAAAGGTACCGTAAATGTCTGCGTATACGTGCACTAAAATTCCAGTGTCCGCTTGAGTTGACCGCATTCATGAACCATCTCGGGAATGGTTTAAAGAGGGCCCAAAATACAGGGACATAGAATATACCATAAATATATTAATTAATCAATAATTCTAAATTTGTTTCAATGCATGATGCTGGGAATATGTTTCTAGTTGTTGTTTTTTGTAAGAATCCAAGCTCAAACTCACATTATCTGCATTGGAATAAGTTACAGCCCTTAAAAATAAATAAAAAGCCATGAGCATTTGTTTGGTGTGAAGATTAGTCTGTGCGAAACTCAAATTGTGCCACTAGGAGGTGGCATTGCTCTTTGTATACGATGACAGGCGGAGATTGCTAAAAATGATATTCAGTGATGCATATTCAAACTAGATTGTTTAAAATATTCAATACCAACAGCAGATTTGCCATACAACAGAAACTGCCTGTAGACATAAACTACCCAGCTTTACTGCATGCACTGTGTTTGTAATTCATTCCTTTTAAATCTCTGCAGTACTTTTATTGTGTTATGAGCGCCCGGTTGTAAAGTTTAGAACATGCATGTTTGCCGTATCAGCAGCACCTCATACTGACTCATTTCTGGCTTATTCTCTTCTTGGACAGGTCATTTGCAAAATACAGATATGGCGGTTATGTCGGTAAGCAAAGCACCACACAGCTGGATTTCGGCAACCCCTCTGGCCATAACAATACATGCATCCATATAATCGTACTCTTTGGTTTATAACGTTATTTTGGAGTGAGTTAATGATGTCCTCATGTGCTATACGAGTCATTTCTGTAGCAGGAAATGCTTTCTTTCTAAATGAATGCCTCACTCCCACCCTATACTAAATAAATGCCATATTTGTTTGATCTCTGCCAAGTGTAGTTAACAGCAAATTCATCTTGGAACAAAAGTGAAGGAAAAAGTATTTGGCTGGGGAATAAGAACTTAACTTGAAGGAGAACTCCGGTGGGATTTGGTTGTTTTTTCAAGTGTATCAAATTTCAGGTCTTTGTAGTCCCAGTGAGTCCCAGTGTCGGATTGGTACCAGTCTGCTGCTCGCTCATTTGGCTAATTTACAGAGCAAACACACACACACACACACATAGAGGTGGTTTACAAAATCATATAATGAAAAGTCCTAGCGACCCGAGCAGCGTGGCCTTGGGTGTCGGTTCGGTCTTCTGGCCAGTCGACCATTTTGATCCAGACTGAAATATTTTAACAACTAGTGGATGGAGGACCATGACAATCATTACAGATGTTTGTGGTCACCGGATGAAGACCAATGCATTTTAACGATCCCCTGACTTTTCTCTTGTTTGAGTGAAACGTTTCCATGACTGTAATTTATTTTGTACTGTTAAAACGGAGCAGAGTTAAAACGGCTTAGTGCACAGCCGAGTCCGGGACAGCAAGTAGACCACGCCGGATTGATCTTGCAATTAATTCTGCAGCTCTTTCATCATCATTCATTCTCCCCTTTCCTTTGCATTTGCACATGTATTTGGTACTTGAAGGACAGATGCAAGTTATATGATGTGACAGTGAAGGCGATAGTTTCACTCCGTTTTTTCAAGTACCATTTAATATGATGTACCACGAAAAGAGATATATATGCAAAACTACCCCCCCCCCCCCCCCGTTTGTTTAAATGGCGGAAAGACCAAAAGCCGCCGAACCCACAGGAGAAAAGTGGGGGTGGTGCATTTCTAACCCGTGGAAAGACGTTATCATTAACGTGTTCCCCCCCCCCTCCCTGTGGGGCCCCGGCCGGATTCAGATAAAGCTTATGCCACGCCGAAAAGATGATTGGCATTCCTCCCCGCCCACATAATGTTCATTAAAGTCGTAATCACGACATAGTCATTTGGATGGATTCCAGTTAACAATTATCCAGACGCACTAAAGGTCCTTGATGAGAACTGGGTCAGGACATGGTGAACCTAAAAACTCGAAAGAACCCTGTTAAGCAACCTGTTTTTTTTTCCTCCCAGAAATGGTGACTGCATGCTTATGTAAAGGGCCCCTTTAAACACCCAAATCATTTACAATGTCTCACACTGCACATCCAACGCTCCACCGTTTATATATTCTACTTTAAAGTCATGCTTCTTCTGTAACCTGAGCCGGGGCCGCTCCTTCTAAAGGGACTCTTAGGCCTGCAGGTAGTAATCAAACTGCATGAATGCCCTGAGGGAAGAATGGTGAAAACTACATTTGCAAAAGGCATAGGCTTCGCTCTTTACATTCACAGCAGCTACACTGCTGCGACTTGACATTCAAATGTAACCACCGAGACACTTTCCACTTTCTTTTCTTTTTTTTTTCTGCCCGAAAGTGAATATCCGAAACATTCACCTTAAAAAGAAGCCGAGTGGTGAGACTGGCAGAAGCTGGAGGCAAAGCACCGGGTGATTCACACGGGGAACATCTCCATCTGCACGCTTTAAGAGCGAAAGTAAGTAAGGCAACATGTTCCACTGTTCTACTTTGACCAGTGTGAAAGACAAACCTGATGCTTCTTCACACAGCGAACAGGAAGAGACTCACGCCGCTCTTCGACTACAGGAAATAACCCCTGCGCCGATGACGCACGTCTCGGGGGAATGCTCGGCGAGAAGTGTGCTGTACACTCTGTAACTGCTCGAGCTGCAGGGCCATGCAAAGCCGTGCAGCTTGTCGCAGCCCTGACGCACGCACACACACACACACACACGCTGGGAGAGTCACACGCTTTCCTTTGAGTGCGGCTCGGTGACAACTTTAAAAGTACATATTGTGCGCGGCGTCACTGAATCGTCCTGCTCTCCCTCAGCGCCGGCTCTCGCAGACAAACCAGATGAAAAGGCGTGAATCTATAGAGGCGCCACTAGACGATGTGTCTGTGGTGCCCCCGGCCTCGGCCCCCCGACCGCCACCTCCCCGCAGCACGTCCAGCGGTCGGCCTGATTACAGTCGTGTGCATCTGTGGGCAGCGGAGTCAACGTCTGAACGGTCCTGGTGGGGAGGACAATGGCGGAGGGGGGCGGATTGGATGTCTCGTGCCAAAACACAGAGAAAAGACCGTGTCGCTGAATGTCCCACAGAGGTGGATCTTTTGGGGCTATTGATATGGAAAAAGTCAAAGTAATGGATTTGTGGTTGAAATAGTTAAAAGTGATGGATGCAAGGAGGAAACATCCGGCCTACCCATATTTGAAAGTGCTAAATGTTGTATTGTATTACATTTGGAACAGAGCAGGCGGTGTTGAAGGAGTCGTAATCCAATTATTCTGTACTTAAGAGTACTATGGGGCAGAACAAGTTGGGAAACGTTGATCTACATAATCTCAGCATGAAATGTTCTTTTTGCTCTGAGACTGAGGCACTGGCTGTGAAGATTTTTTTGAAAAGTGAACTTGATAAGTGAACTTGGCCCGGGATGCACGACCTTTTGCAATAACAGACAATGTTCAGAAATGTTGCATGTGGATTAGAATCAGAACGACCGTGTAAAACAATCACTTGATACAAGCAACAGATTTGTTTTCCGGGGCGATAGTTCATGAGAAATAAGGTCAAATGCTCAACAACTTTGTGTTCAGATAGTTGAACAAACAGAAAAAAACAGTGAGATGAAACAACTTCTCTTCTAGTTCACCCACACAGAAAATACACACACACACACACACACACATGCAGCACATACACACGCAGCACATACACACATGAACACACACAGCAATCACCTCCCACCCACCAGCCTGGAAAATATTAACCTTTTCATCTCATGTCACCTTTTCATCTAACTTCATGCATCACACCCACATGCCTACGGACACACATGCACATTATGGACTGGTGTGAGCACACACACACACACACGCACGCAAGCTGATTCACACACACGCACGCACATATAAATACAAACAGGCTGCTGCAGATATCTCAAGAGGAACTGAGAGAGAATTCAGGGAGTGGAGACTCATTTAAAGAGGACCAAACTACAGGAAACGAGAATTATTGACCCTCCCCTGTGACCAGATTTACAATCTGGGCCTGAAATCAGTTGGAGGAGGAAAGAAAACAGAAAGCTGGAGAAGGAAATGTTTGAGCGTCTATAAATAGAAGGCCCACGTTTGAAAGGATTCTGAAAAGGCACAGAGTCATTTATTATTCAGCTTGCACTGCTCACTGTTTATCACACATAATGAGTCAAGGAAACTTAGTAACCTGACGCGCCTGTTTTCCTTCTGTGACCATATCAGATCTTAAACTGCTGATCAATTCATGCAAAATCCTTTCTCGTAAATGAATTTTTATTGACGTGCGTGTTTTTTTGTGGGTTACTTTCTTTTTATAACCGATAATACAAACCTACAGAATGTCCCGCAGCATCTGTAGACGACATCAAAGACGAGCTGAGGCTTTACTTTAAATAACGAGATAAACAACCGCATCTGCCCCTCCCACCACCACCCCCACCCCACATTCCTCCCCCCCAAATAAGTTGCCTTTTTCAGTCCAGTTCCTCAAAGGCAAGAGCAGGCCTCAGATCAGCCCGCCGGGTGCCGCGCGCGCCGCTCTCACGCGCACAAGACCGAACCTTCGTTTGACGGGGGGGCGGAGGGGCTGCTGCAAGGCGTTAACCGACAATACAAAACGGTGCATTGCATGCAGAGGGCTTTTTTTTTAATTGAAGTGCACGCGCCAGGAGAAGGTTTTGGGGGTGTGGGGGGGCTCATTCATAATTCAGAGGCGTCGAAGCGATGCAAGGGAGGGAGGAAGGACGCGTCCGTCTGCATCGCGCCTCTGCGTTGCCTCTGCGTTGCATCACCCTTCCTCGGGTGTTTTTTTTTTTTTTTTCTCCCCCCCCCGCCCGCCCGTCCCCCACCCTGCGTCCCCCTCTCCATCAATTGCGTCGCTCAGTGGCTAATTTGGGCCTGAGATAAGAGCCTTCATTTGTCAGCGCCCCCCTCCGAGGGCTGTCTGGATGAGCCGCTTGTTTGTCTATAGGTCACTGGTGCATTATCAGGAGGAAGGATATTATGAACCCTCACTGCTTACTGGACCCCCCCACCCCCCTCACCCCACACACACATGTATAGCTGTATCTCCACACAAAGAGAGGTGCATGTGCCTTATTACACACACACACACACACACACGCACACACACACGCAGCTGGCTGCTGGTCTGTCTGACCTAGTTTGTTTCTGTAGGCCGCTCTAATGAAGGGAGCGAGCCTGCTGTGCTATCTGACTGCATCTGATTTGCATTTCTGCCCCGTCACGAGCAGATGGCACCAGAGGTCGAAGGCAGAACTTTTTCGGAGGCCGCGTCTCACACACACACACACGTACAGCACCTACACAGATATACACACACATACACACACACACACACACACACACACGCGTGAGCAGGCAGTAGGCTCGCACATAGGCTCTTAAATGACAACACTTAAATGATTAGGAAAAGCTGATTTCGTACATGCTCAATGCTCTTTGTATCAAGTAAAAGGGCCATGTTGTGCAGGTGCATAGCGCGGGTTGTGCGGCCGTGCACAGAGGAGGGGGGGTGGGGTTGTGATGCTCCAAACTGTAACGTTCGGCTGCGCACCCTCCGATAGTGCACTCTTCGTGCTTAACAGGAAGGGAGTGATGAATCACACGGACTTATTTGTGGTAGTGTTGGGTGTTCAAGTATAGAGGGCCTCTCTGTCTCTCTCTCAAAATCACAGAGGAAGTGAACAAACACAAAACCTCAGCACTTTGTCATTTCTCTAAAAGATGGCGGCCTCTGTCACGGTGGAAGTCCTGCAGAAAGAGCGCGATGTTGGGAAGATGCCGTGTTCGCGTCTCCTGTGCTGCAGCGGGACGTGTGAGGCATCACGG